GTTAAATGTCCATTTTTGTGGTAAATAGGGACTAAAAATATTAAGAGCAGAAATCCTTAAACTATAAAATTATTAAAGACAAACCCTTTTCCTCATTAAAAAATAAAATGTATATCACCCTAACGGGGGGGTTGGCGAGCGGAGCGAGCAGGGGGGCGCAGCCCCCCTAGTATATATATATATATATATATATATATGCGTGGACGTTGATTATAGCTACTGCTCGGGAGTGTGTGTGAGTACGAGGACGAAAAGTCGACCAATTTCCTCAAAAGGATGATGTAGGAGGAACGCGCGCTACGCTGACTTTTTAATATCCGCACGCGAGTCGAGCGCTAGGCGCCGCGTGCAACTTTTGGGCGAACACTCGAATAAAAGAGAGTTAGAGATAGAAAGCTCTATGTAATGAAGAAAATGGCAACAGATGCGCCGACTCATTTCGTATATTATAATGTCTATATATAATATCGCATGATATTTTATTCCAAGGTGAGCGCGTGCAAGCAGCTCTGGCTATGATGCATTTTCTTTTCAAACATTTTCACTGAAATATGTACGGCAGCCCTCGCGCGAGCACGAGCTGCGTACACATACACCAAGTCTCGTTAACGATGGCATTTTAATTTGCGACGATACGATAATTTTCGATTTATAAAAAAAAAAAAAAAAAAAAAAAAAATATCCTTTTGCTCTTTTCATGCGCGACATTTTCAATGCGCTCGAAAATTGAGCCGCTTGATTGGTTTCGAGGAAAATTGATATTAATACATCAATTTTTTATCGATGTCTCGCTCGCGCGTCTCTCGGCAAAGTAATGACACTCACAGGCCATGATGTCATAAAGAACTATAATGCAACAAGGACAAGCTGCCAACGCAATTCAGCGTTATCATCATTAATGAGCTTTTCCGATCGTTTACGATTAACGAGTTTGCAGGCCGTGCATTTACATATTGCTACCCACCTTGCTTGTACACTATGTATGATATAAAAAAAATATCATCTAATGCAATTTTTCCATGTTCCATAATGATGCCAATTTATATTTTTCAAAAGATACATTTAAAAATAAAAATTTGTATTTTGTTTTTTTACTTATGTAATAATTTATGATGATATCAATAACCAATACTTATACGTGACGTCAATACGGAAAAGGCAATTATTGGTGAACTAAAAGTTGAAGTTGCGTATAGATAAATTGACGATACTGAAACCTTGTTAGCGATCTTCTTTCAAATTATTATCGTCGTTATTCCACCGTGACAAGAAGCGCGAGTCCAAATAAAAATCATCTTCAAGAAATGCAAACATTTCCCGAGCAAATATGCCCAGATGTGACACATGCGCGGCAGATACACTACTATTTGAAACACTGCAGTATCCGAACGCTATTTGCCTAGTAACGATCAATTTACTCACGGTTACGTATATACAGACTTATTTGCTGAATCGACGATACAAACTCGATATGTATTTATCTTTTATCGTGTCTTCTCGTCTGTGTATCTAGATGCTGCTGTGCATCTCGTTTATGTTGGTATAAAACTAGCACGTGCACAGAGGAAAATCAAACGAGGTTGGTGGTGGTGTATATATAGCTCGCGCGGCGGCTGTGATGGAAGTGATGGTGCGAGACTACACGGCAATATAATTTGTTACGGTGCGAAAGTTTGCGTCATATATGTATGCAAGTGTGTGGCTGCGTCTGAGGAGAGTTCGACACCCAGAGGCGAAACGAGTTGATGCATTTAGTCGTGTTATGCCATATATAGACTACTGGGTGCGTGCGCGCGCGCGCGTGTGTAAACTTCACATAGGATCTCTTGAAATAGCGTGAGTGTCTGCGTACGGCGTGTATACCTAACATTTTTTTCGATTCGATTAGTGCGATGAGAGCGCGCGAATTAATTAAACGAAAATCGAGTTAGTTTGTGTTTATCAAATGAATTTCACGACTACAAACGAGTCAAGTTCAAAATTAGTAAAATGTAATTGAACAATAATTACCAATTATAAAAGCATTCGTAATATTATTATTATAAAATTGTAAACAAAGACAAAGTATTAGGGAAAATGTAGTTTAAAAAAAGTGCCTCGTCAAAATTATGAATTTTGTTTTAGTGAATTTACATCAGCAAATGGATTGTCAATCGCCAAACGTCCACGTGAATTTCGCGTCGATTCAAATTTAGCGCGATCAAATCTATAGCAAATCTTCGAGCATACAAAATCTACATACACCATTCAAGCGTCGATTGCCAGGCCGATTCAGACCTGGAAGATTGAGTGCTGCCTATTTTTTACATTTTTTCTCCTTTCCTGCATACATGCTGCACAACGGGCGCGCGTGCAAAAAGGTCTCGATTCTAAACACACGTTCAGCTCAGCAGCAGCAGCAGCAGTAATCGACGTTTTCGTTCAATTCACGCGCGCTTGAGTTTTCAATTTTCCTATACGCGCGCCGAGTAAATCTATATGGGCTTATAAAGCTCAACAATATGTGATTCGAGGAAAAAACGCGGCGGCGTGAAACGTTTAAGAAAATATTTTTAGGTATGGCGAGCGAAGAAAAAGAAAGGAAAGAGAATGGCTCTTTTTCGCGTCGATAACAAAAACAGACGCGTATACGCGGCTGGCGCTATAGGCGAGCGAGCAAAATGTAAAAAAAAGAAATCCTGCGCGCATGTGTGCGCGAGCTACATTAATGTGGAGAATAGGAATGCACATATACGTTGGACAAAGAAAGGGGTGCAAGTTGGGAGGGGAAGATTTAAAAAAAGAGAGAGAGAGGAAAAAATCGTGTCAAGTTCTTTTCTGTATACGTGCACGCATGCACAGAGTGCACAGTCAGAGAACAAAATGGTAACCGGGAGTTAGTAACAGCATATGCACGTGTGTGTGAGCGCGTGCGTATATATCTGTGTATAAACGTAGAGCATACAGCAAGCTAGAGAAAGAGAGAGAAAGAGAGAGAGAGAGAGAGAGTAAGAATGAAAGCGTCCTCAGGCTTGTGCTCTCTCGGAGTACTTCGACTAGAAGATCTCATACATATTAATGGGTAACTGCGCGTGTGAGCGAATCGATCCACGCGTGTATATATACCTATATATCAGTACGAGCGTTGATGCTCTGCACAGTGTGTACCGCCGCTGCTCCAGAGGTAGAGATAGCAACAACTATACTCTTTCGAGCGCGCGTGTGTGAGTGCATGAGTGTGTGCGCGTGTGTTGAAGGATTCGAATATGCTACAGCTGCTACCGCTATATGTATGCAAGATGCTTGAGTTGCGCGTGTGTGTCGTGTGTCTAATGTACGCGAGTGTGTGCATCATCCTGCTGCTGCAGCGGCAACAGCAGCAGCACGCGCGCACGGCGCTTATTATGCCATTAACGTAATGAAGTTAGGCTGCTGCCTAAATATAAGCGAGAAAATACTTGAGCAGATTTCGAGTTCCGATAAAGAATGAATGAATGAACGATCAGCTGTGTGCGTGCGCGCGCGAGGAACAAAGCTTTTTACAAAACTTTCCGCAACGCGAGCAAAAAATGAAGCAAATTATCGAGAGTTTACAACTGATTGGTCGACAAGTAATTAGATGAGCGCGTGCGCTTCAAAGGCTCATGAATATATAGAAAAATAACTGATCAAAGTTTAAAATTTCAGAGGAGAAAAAATTGTACCTACGCAGCGGCAGCAGCAGCGGTGCGCGCTTCTAAGCATGCACGTCGAAAGAGAGAGAAAGAGAAAGAGAGAAAGAGAAAGAGAGAAAGAGAGACGTCGAAGTTCGTTAACTCTTTATATCCCATCCGCTTGCTATATATTTCGTATTAATTGAAAAAAGCGAGACAGACAAACACACGCGCTCGCACACATACACGCGCTTGCATCGCTCGTCGGGGCTTTGACGTCGTACACGCCAGAGTGCGCAAAAGAAGAAAGAAAATAGCTCGCGCGGTGGTAGGAGCTGGAAAACTTGCGTACGGAGAGTGAGAGAGAGAGAGAGAGCGACCAATTAGCAGATTCTATCGGGCACGAGATTACTCCGCTATAATGTGTTTTTTTAAAACGTAAATTGACAAAAAAAATCCACGCATCAAGTCGCGATTTTAGTTTGCCGTACGTAGGTGAAACCATAACAGCATGAGAAAACTAAACTAAAATATCGATTGTACGCTTGAATTTAATTTCGGTAATGTATCGCCGAAGCCTCTATATAGTGCTACAAGTGCGAGAGTGAAGTTGTGCAGTAACAAGATATCGTCGTCGTTGAGTAATTAGACCTGATGAAAGCAGCAGTAGCTCAAGCTCTCTTTGGTAATATTTTGTACCTCTTGATCTTGGAGCTTGCAACAGTACGCGGTTGGATAAAAAAAGAGGAAAAAAAAGACAAAGTAAGAAAAAAGACAGAAAAATAGTAAGAGGCTGTAGAGAAGGACATGACTGAGTAGTGACTTTATTTCCTCAAATGCTGCTTCGTGTAAAGTTGCAATAACCTTTACTCTTCATGTTGTTGTTTTTTAAAAATTCTTTATCGATATCATTATGTTTAAACGTTGTTTCCTTTCACCTTTGTCACCTACTAATCTTAATACAAAACAAGTGAAAAAGAAAGTGAAACAACTCACCTGAGCGTGATTCCAAACTTTTGGCTTTGGACTGGATCTGTTGAGAGCAGCTGCCACACTGCCACTCACCGTCGTGATAATCGGGCCGGAAATATTTGTGGTCGACTTTACAATAGATTTGACGTTGGTACTTTTCTGCTGCTGGCCATTGTTGTTGAGGCCGTTGACGATGGGCTGCGCTTGCTGTTGGCCGGGAGTTTGTTGCTGCTGTTTTTGCGTCTGCTGCTGCATTATCTGCTGTATGAGCTCGAGCTGCTGCTTCGTTAGGCTACCCTCGCTACCGCCGCCCGAGCCACTCGTGCCCTGTGAAATTTCAGCACGAGCACGTTTTTATGCATGAACAAATATTGTGTCGCGTGAAGGTATAAACTTTTAAGATTGTTCGCCGAGCAAACTTTGCCCGGGACAAATAGAATTTTAAGAAAACTTTTTTTTTTTTGCTCGATGCAGTTCATCTGCCTTTATCACGCAATTATCAGTGAAACGCATAATCTGAATCACTAAAGCGAGAGGACGCAAGCGATTTTACCCCGAGGAGAGTCTCTCGCTCTCTTGCTGATTTCTTGAAAGTTCTGTCGCAGAACGCGAGAAAGAAGAAGCGCCTCGAACCGAGAGCTTTCCATTCCGATGACTTTGGTTTCGTGTTTGCGTCTATACGTAGCGTGTCTCTCTCTCTCTCTCTCTCTTTCGTTTACTCTCAGACATCGGTGCGTATAGAGACGCATATATAAAGTCAAAGACGTTCCGCGGTTGCTTTTAGTATCAGAAGAAAAATCGTTTATATACTGCGCACTGCACTTTGCCACTTCAACAATTTTCTCACGTGGAGCGGTGAGTTCTAATTTTTTTTTTACACCTATCGCAAAGTATTTCAAAAAAGCAAGAACGATAATATCCCATAATAATTGGATGGCGCAGAGCAGCTCACGCGGTAATCAGTTTAACGATCTAATTCAACGATTACCTTTCCTTTGCTTAACCTCGGATTCTGTCTCTCGCACACGCACGCACACACTCCCAGATATATATATAATCTGAAAGTTTGCAGTTAGTATATAGTTCCTGCGGAGAATCCATTGAACAAACGGATTGGACTACTGTCGATGAAAATTGGATTTGTTAATTACTACAAGGGATTATACGCAGTCGCTTTGGCGATAGGCTTAAATTCACTTATTGGATCTTTCGGGTAAAAATTTCATGCGTACTCTATAGACAGCTAGCCTTGATGTTTCATTGTATTGATGTATATATTTTTGCGCGAAAATGGAAAAGAGATAAAATTTCCGAAGACTCGTGAGCGTTTAACTTTTGATCCTAATTATAGCGTTTATAATTTCCTTTGACAGTTTCATAAAACTTTCCGCGAAGAAGCTGCGTTTATTTAATTTCTCTTTCTATCCTCACTTTTTCTCTTATATATATTAAAGCTTGCACGTGCATCCCACGTATAAGTATAAAATGGTGAAGTAGAGCGAAAAACAAGTTTTGAAACTTATATATTTGTAGAAAATACGCGTGATGTTAAATTTTTCTATATATGTATAAAAGCGGTGGAAAAAAGTTGAGTAAGAGGCTTTCAGATGCTTTAGCCTTGACTTTAAGTATCATCTCAACTCCTCCTTGACCTCAACTTTCTTTGCTCATATTTTCGTTCTTTTTTCACGCCACGCGAGTAGCTATACGCAATTTTTATTTCCTCGGCTCGTATTCATGCCTCGAATTTTCACTTTCCGTTTGTTTTTCCTCTTATGCTTCATCTCGTGTGCAAACCGCACAGATGCTACAACAGCTCAACGCAAAGCGGTTAGAGGTAAAGTACAAAGAATAATAATACTTTTTTTCAGCGCTCATTGTTGCATCTATTGGAAAGTTTTCACCAAAATGCAAAGTACGCTAGCCGAGTTGAGCTATCCCAGTCGGGCATTTGAAAGTATTCGCACGTATTGGAGTCAAGCCCTTTACGTTTTTCTGCAGCTTTCATGATTTTTCAAATTCTGACTAGATCAGTTCAGTTATTTTGTTTTTCACATACCGAACCATTAATTTCTGTACACGTACCTGTAACCTGGAGCTTGTCGAGATAGAGAGAAGGAGAGTAAAAAAAGGTAAAAAGTTTGCAAATTTTCTTCTAAAGTACAAGATTTGTTGACATTTTTCTTCGGAAAAACTTGTCAAAAGAATGAGGGAAGGTTAGTTGCAAAGTTTGAAGAATTAACCTTCGCCGAGAGAATTAAATTAATCAAGTCAGATTATCCGGAAAAGTTATGAAACTCTGCGGTTATATTTTATGCAACACTTTTGTAACGGTCAATTTACAAAGATGAGTAAACATTTACATTCGATGAAATAAAATAAATCTGTTGGAAGTTTTCTTTCGTAAATTTTTCATTCGAATTTAGCTTGGTATTAAACTCCACTCTCGTGCGCGCGCGTGTATGCCGAGAAAAAGAAAGAGAGAGAGAGAGAGAGAGACGGAAGAGGAGGGAAGCGCTTTTCAATGTGCGCGCGAGACGTTCAAGTATATATTTTTTTTTCACCCTTCCACGGTATATTTACTCGCTCAAGATGACTTGTAATATATTCAAAGGCAAATACTCTCCCTCTCCACTTGTCGAGTTAACGCGGGCTTTCATTTAAAATTGTTTGCTCACGCTAACTTCTCTTTGAAGGGTTACCTCTCTATCTTTTTTAACCGGCTCCTCTTTGGCATTACGGGCATATTAAAACGCGCGCGTAATTTTCAAATTGACAAAATTCTGAATCGCCAAAATAACGTTACTATATAGGAATGAAATTTGTAAAGAAAGTTGCGCAACTCGTGTGGTTGCACAACTCTATTACCGAGGGGGGAAAGGGGTTAAGCCAACGAAGACAGTGACACTGCATGGCATAGCCAAAGTCAGTAAATGTGCGACGGCGATCGTAGTGCTGGCTCGGCAAACTTTCCGGACTGACGGACGTGCTTCCACTACTTCGAAGCTCGTTTGCCATTGCCTATCCTGCAGCCCTCTTTTATTCTTTCTATTTCTCGCTTTCTCTCTCTCTCTCTCTCTCTCTCTCTCTCCGCGCGACAGAGACGAAGACTTGAGTTTTACCTCGCACGCCCTTGATTCGACGAAAACCCCGTTACCGTCCTTGTGGCATTGAAAAGTGCTTTAATGCGCTCCGAAGCGTAAATGATGAGAAGGAAATATTTCGTCGTCGTGAATAATACTTTGATCTAAGTGCGATGAAAATGCAATTTTTCTATTAGAATATTCGATATGCTATGCGAGCGTGCTATAGGTGAAATGACATTTTTCTTGGAAGGCGAAAGATGCCGTTTGTCAACTTTGGCGTTTAAGCTGACACGTGGAAATAAGCGCATATGTGAAGCGTGCATTCAAACCAATATATCATCGAGAAATCTACGTTTGAGTTAATGCGCTGCTTTTTCTCGGAAAAGAAGGCAATCTCATGCGCACGATCAATGGGATTTTAATTTATCCCTCATAAAAAATATTTCACTATTTTAAAAATGTGATCGAATTTTTTGTAATTTCTTCCACTCATTGCATTAGTTTCCATCGCCAGAAAAAAGCGAAAAGAATTGAATAAATACAGAAATGTGCAAAATCAGCAGAAATTGAAGAGAGAGAGAGAGAGAGAGAGAGAGAGAGAGAGAGAGAGAGAAAAGGAAAGAGACAGTACGTATATTTCAAGTTAACGATTCCATTTCTGGCGCAATCAGCCGTATTATACAACAAGGGCTGACTGTATTCCCGTGCAAAGTCCGATTTTGATCTCTAATTAACGGTACATCGAGTGTGTATAAGCGTCTGCATATAATATATATATTATATATAGTTTATGTGCTCGAGGCAATATAGCTCATACCAGAAAGTTTATGTGGATCAATTTGCTGACTTGAACCACTGCCGATTGCACAGAGTCGCTACTGGTTCGATATATTTTTTCATTAATCATGAAGTTATATTTGGCCATTTTTTAATAATTTTAATTAGGCTATTAAAAAATTTGAAGCCGATAATAATATTTTGATTTGACACGAAAAAGATAGTTCAGGTAGTTTTAAGAGATTGTCAAAATCAGGTAAGCTAAAATAACGAGAAGTTCAATTTACAAACCATAAAATACATTCTGTAAAAGATATACCACTGATTTTGTGTTGCACGATACACCTGATTCACAAACATCAAATTGGATATTGCCTTCAACTGTGACCCGGTGTATACTTCGAATTTCTTTCTCTCTTCCAGGGTCTCTCTTCTCGATGTTCGTTATTTCTGTAGTAGGTATAATGCACGTGTATTTCTCTATATGTATGTGCTTGACGTATAACATTTAGAGCTCGTGACTGGATAAGCGGTCGAGTCAAGAGCAGCCAGATAACGTCAATTTATGTGCAGTTTTGTATACGTGTGCATGTATGAATAAATATACACGTGCGTGTATATCGTTGAAGCTATGAAGTCGGTTGGCACGGTAGTTGCGATAATCTTCTTCGCCACCACGTCTGCTGATGCTACTGCTACCAAGAATTTCTTTCGTTTTCCTTCTCTCTCTCGCACTATTTCATATGAACGCGTTTATGTCAAGCTTCCGTATAAAACATAACTAGCTCAGTGATAACTCTGAACCGAGCTAAATTCCTCTACTTATGTATCATTTTTTTATTTAAGGTTTTGGTCTTCGAGCAGCAAAAATAAGAATTGTAGAGACGCCTATATTTTTTTGAATATATTCCTATGTAAAACGTCTAGGAGCTCGTTGGGTGAGGTTAGGAACGCGAGTCCATGAGAAACGAGAGAGCACAAAAGTCGCGAGTTCCATGACTCAAGAATGCAATAGTTGGTTTATGTTATGATTGGTCGGCACTCAGCAGTGGTGAGAATCTTAGTCAGCTTGCTCCCCTCTCCGCGTCCCGCGTAACAAACACATCGCGCTTGGCCGTTATGCCTCTGAAAGCGTCACGTATCTCTGTCTCCGTTGCACTCGTCTGGCTGGTTCGCTAGCTTTGCGTGTTCGTGCAGTCTGCTCGCTCCAAATTCAAACGACGCATCACACGTATTTGCACTGTCGTATGAGTGTATGCGTAGAGTTAGTGACTAGTGTACGTTACGACGCTGCAGTGTAAACAGCAGAAGAAGATCGCAGCAAGTGATCTCGTCGTAAAAATTATAAATACCTTACGTGACTGAGTTGGTGTGTGAGTGAACATAACAATGTCCGACGATCGATCCAATGAAAGTTCATATTATTCTTCCGAAAGCGACGATAGCGACGAAAGCTATGAAAGT